TTATTATTAAAATGTTTATATCAAAAGATTTATTATTGAAAAGTTTATTGAATAGTAATCATACTATTAATATTCAACGTACATTTACTCTTTCATCTATTCATTTTCGAAGACGTATTAAACATCCAACATATCAATTTTTTCCATATCAAAAATATGATAGTGCTAATCCAGTTCCACATAGAGATCGAGTACCTGTTTGGAGGTAAATATTATAAGTTTACTTTTTTATCGTTTATTAACATGTCAAAATTTTCATTTGATAGTCGATTACAATTAACAACAAAAATGGCTAGTGAACATAAACCAGGTGGTCATAAACTTTGGCATGCTATGTATATGGCTCGTAAGTTAATTAATTAGAGATTTTCTCGATTGATGTAGTTTTACGATTAAAGAAAATAGGTTTCTAGAATAGTTGAAAAATTATGATATTCAGAACGATTATATAAAATAAATAGTAAAGTATACAAGGAGAATTTCGATTTTGTTCTTCACAAATATTTGCCACTAGAAGTGTTAAGCCAATCGGCTGAGTCACTGTTGCCATAGTACAAAGATATATATTTGATTTTTGAATTATCAGTCAATTTTCTATCTTTTTCCATTTCAAAATCTTCTAAAAGAAAGAAAATTTTTTAAAAATTCTTCAAAAACTTCCAGTCGTTGCCACTGACTAATTCATCGGTTCATCATTGTAAGATCTACAATAAGATTATCAATAGTTGAATATGGATAAGTCTTTTGAAAAAAATAACAATCAATTCATAGAATAATTCTCAATATTTGACAAAACAAGTAAATGTAAATATCAAAGATAAGATAACGACTGACCCATAACTTGATCAAAGGTGAGTAATGCTAGGAATATGAGTTTATTATTTCTATGCTGCGTTCGATATTCGTTTCATATTTCACTGAAATATCACATATCAGTAATATATATAACTTACAATGATTTAATAATAATCATTCTATGGCTTGAACAGTACCAGATCAGATTTAAACATTATCAGTACGATTTTTTCGAGGAAAAAATATCAGATATGCATTTCTTATTATTATTAATTGGTTTTCATTTATTAGAATTAGAAAGATGTTTTCGATGATTTATCAGCTTTTAATATTTCTAATTATAGACCGTGGTGTACAAATGCCTGGTTATTTTGATCATCAAACTGGTAAATTTGTTTATGTTGAAGAAATGGAACCTGAATTAGTTGTACCTGATTTAACTGATTTTAAAGTAAATTTTTAAAGAAATATAATTTTATTGTTTGCTTTTTTTTGTCTTATAAAAATATTTCTTTAGTTAAAACCATATGTATCATATGATGTAACAGAAATCAAACAAGATCAATTTTTAGCACGTGATTTATTTAATGCAACATATGCAAAATCAATAGCTGATCAATTTAAGCGTGGTGAAATCAATCCAATTGATGATAATGATAATGAAGAAAAGAAAGAAAAAACTGATACAATGTCTTGAATAGAATTTGAAAAATAAATTGTTTTAGGATGAATTGTGTGGTACAAAATCTTTTGCAAATTGTTCAATTAATGGTAAAATTTGTTTGCGAGATGCTTGAACATTTCTTTGTTCAAATAATTTAATACGTGCTTGATTTATTGGTATACCACGTTCACGTAAATTAAGATTATGTTCGTCACGTTGTATATATTCATTTATTGGAGGCATATGTTCATATTTTTTAACATAAAAACCTAATTGACGTGTTGTTTCGTCATTATTTGTTTCAAGTGAAAGCATAATTACACCATCCGCATTATCATTATTAGATAAAAATTCATCTATATCTTTCATTGTTTTTAATTGTCCGATAAGTTTCTATCAAAAAAAAAAAATAATAATAATTCAACAAAAGAAACAAAATTAAATATTTCATTTTACTTCAACTGTATATCCTGATGGTAGACTAGAAATAGCAAGACGAATATTAGGTCCAATGACCTGCTTAACATCTTTTTGTAATGAATCTTGAATAGACATTCCTAATAATCAATAAATGAATAGGTATATTTCATAAGGCAGAAAAAAACGATAAAAAGTGTTCAATTAATAACCTGTTGTAGCAGCAGCTTTCTGTCTCAAATCTTTATATAATTTTGAATCGTCAACAATGTAAGTTCGGTAAGTTAAAAGTTGTTCGTATATTTGCTTATCTTTTTCTGTTGCCTTACCAGCGCTTGGTGAAAAATTGAGTGTGTCGAATAGAATAGGTCCTTGAATGAATCAATGATAATATTTTTTATCACATTTTTATCTTCTTGTTTTTTTTTGTTTTTCTTTTTTTCGTTTCCTATTTGCTTACCAGTTAACAAATAAGCGATTTCATCAGTCATTTGAAAATTTGTATTAGATGTGAGGATTTCTTCAGCTATTAATGTACAACATGAACCAACAAGTTCAATTTTAATTTTTGATGGACTAGAAGAGAAAAATATAAAACATATACAAGAAAATAAACAGAAAAAGAAATCTATTGATTATACTCTTTTAATACAATTGAATTTTCTTTTCGAGGATGATGATCAATTATTTGTGTTACGATTTTATTGAATTTTGAATATAAACAATGATGATCAACAAGAATTATTTCAAGTTTATTTCTATCGTATAAATCATTTAAATTAATATCATCAATAAAAATCATATTCGATTGATTTTCTTTTAAAAACCAATGTATTTCAGTACGCAAACGAAATATTGATGGTTGTGTATTTAATATAGGTATATGAAGAATTTCATCTTGTGATTGACATGTCTAAGATTGTAAAAAAAAACAAAAAAAAATCGAACAATAAACAAAACCAAAACTGATTTGTTCGTCTTCATTAACATACGCTATGAAGAAAATATGCATAGACACATGCACTTATAGCTGAATCAAGATCACAAGCTTCATTACCCAAAACAATACGAATGAGACGAAATTGCACCAAATTGGCCTTATATGTACAAAGAAAAATCATGCTAAGAATTTATTTTTAGATAACAATCGATCAAAATTTCTTTTCATGTCATATCGATTAAGTATACATATCGATATGTTATGAATAAAAAAATCTTGATCAAACTACATAGAGACACATATAAAATTTATGTCCTACCAGCTGTGATTTTGCATATATTAAATAATCGGTAAAATCCATTGTTAACTTATATAGTCTAAAACTAAAATTAAATACGAAATATTACCTTAATTCTTTGAACAAAAGAAACACTTCATTATACATATAATTAGTTTCATTTTAAACATATTCAAAATTAGAATAACAATAGAAGTACATTTATAAAGCGTATATATTGTTTTTATTCACATAAACATGATAAAATGAAATGAAAGACTTAAAGCATTATTGATTATTCTTATTGTTTTCATAATCGATAGGTAGCGAAGATATTAATTTTATACATATCTTCTTCATACTATTAGATTTTGACATATTCGTCAATATAAAACTATTATTAATGATTATATCATATAAGCCAAGTTTGATATTCTTTAGTCGATGTTTCAACAAGTCTAATTCAGAAATAATTTTTTTAAATTAAAACAAACAATAAAAATTCAAGAATCCATAATTCAAAATACTTATATCATATATGTTATGTACACAAAATAAAACAAAATTCAACTGATGATTCATAAAGATCGAACATTCATTGATATCAACAACTGAAATATATCTATCAATGTATAATGCATAAAAAAAAATGAATAAGATTTTCTGTAGTATTGTTTAATTATAAATATTATTTGATGAATATGTGTTTAATATTAATAATTACTAAATAAGTAATTAATAAACAAATAGAAAATGATTTAAACTTAAAATAAAATAATTTCATTCATCAAAAAATATTTAACACACTTATTTTATCAATAAATATTTGCCAAAATCGAATTCATTATTGGTAAATGATTTAAATATTTGATTAAACTTATTAATTAAGTAATGAAACTCATTATATTAATCAAGTAAAGTTTTATTACTTTTAAGTTATATTGAAACTAATTTAACATCTAGTAATATTTCTGTTTTCAATAATAAACTCAAATTCGTGATAACTTTATTTTTCAAGTTATTCTAATCTTTTATCAAGACACAATTTATTTACAAACAACAAATCACATGTTTCATACAGACACAACAAATATTTATATAAAAACAACAAGTGACTGTAGCAATATCAATGAAATATAATGTACTTTAGCCACATCAGAGCAATGACATAAAAAGTAACCTTAGGTAACTCTGCGTATTTCAAGTGACATTTCTGATCAACCAATCAGAAACAAAATGTTCATTTTTTTTTATAATTTCAATATTTTGTTTCAAAAAAAAATCTTTTTCTTCTAATAATAAAAGAAACATTTTTAAATCAATTTCTCATGTTATTTTTCTCATTTCTCAAATCAATTCTTATTCGTCTAAAATAAAACAATAAAGGTCAATTTACGTCTATATTCAATATGGTTAGTAAAGCATCATATATATATAGATACACATTATTTCGTTGTTGTTTTTTTTTTTTTTTATAAAGACGACAATTTACACATCAATATTTATTTTTTTCTTCTCTTTTGGCATTATGATTTCTTTACTTTTGTTTATAATTAACATCTCGAGTTGTTCTCATTTGTATGACAAGTATGAAAATTTAGGAAATGACGCATAAATAAACAGAAAATACGAAGAATATGAATAGTATCGTATTGTGTATATAATTCGCTTATTCGTTCGACGAATATGCCGAATGTCTATGTTCAGACGGAGTCTATCTTCTTACAGGCAAAAAAATAAAGAAACACAAATACATCCGGATTGTTCTTATTAAACTTGTGATTTTAATCCAGTTGAAAATAAATTTATATCAACAGCGAAATGTACCATACAAAAAAAAACTGAATGAAGTTTTTAGATTAACGCCATTTTATTATCGTATTTAATACTAATAATAATATATTGAAATGGCCGCTTCGGATAAACTTGGTCTTGGACTTGACGATATCATTCGATTAGATCGTACAACAAATCGACGTGGTGGTGGTGGTGGTGGTGGTGGTGGTCGTGGTGGTGGAAATCGAGCATTTCAAGGACGTACTGGTCGAGGAGGTGCTAATGGATTTCGAGCTCGTGGTGGTGCTGGAATAGTAAGTTTTTCTTTCTTATTTTTTAATTTATTTTATATGTTTTTGTTTAGCCTCGAACATCAAATCCATCAGCAATAGGTCGTTGGAAACATGACCTTTATGATGATAATACAAATCGAAATCGAGAAATACCAAGAAATACTGGTGTGAATAGTACAACGAAATTGCTTATTTCAAATCTTGATTTTGGTGTAACTACAAATGATATTAAAGTAAGAATTTTTTTTATTATTCTATTGCAATTTAAAAAAAAAATATGTTTCTTCGTTGTTTTTTTTTAAGGAATTATTTGAAGATATAGGAGCTGTACGTGCAGCTCGTGTACATTTTGATGAAAGTGGCCGATCTTTAGGCACAGCTGAAGTTGTCTATGAACGTCGTGCAGATGGTATTACTGCTCAACAAAAATATAATAGCCTTAATCTTGATGGTATACTATTGAAAACAAAAAAAAAGTCACAAATGAATTTTGAGGTTATTTTGTTTTATGATTAGGTCGTCCAATGGACATCAAACTTGTCGGTAGTGTCGACGATGGATCTAAATCACGATTAAGTCGTTTTTCATTAGCTAATGTAGGTAATAATAGAACACAACGGCCTGGTATTCGTAATACTAATCAACAAAATTATGTTGGCGGAAATCGAACACGTGGTGGTAAACAACAACAAAATGGTACTAGTAGAAAGAAAGAAGAAATTACAGCTGACGATCTTGATGCTGAACTTGATGCATATCGTGCTGAAAGTAAACAAAAAAACTAAAATGATATTTCTTCATTTTGTTTTGTTTGTCTTTGTGTGTTGTATACAAAATTATTCAATTAACATGTATAAAGACATAACATGTTTTTGAAATATTCATCATATCTGATCTATTTCATTTTGTTTCTTCTTTTTGTTGTGGTTTGTTATATATGTCATCAATTGTATTTGCTCTGTTCTTTTTCTCTTGTTTTTGCTATTAATGAGTATGTGTGTTCTTTTGTTTTTTGTATAGTTACTGTGTGAGTCAACCGGTTGCTTATATCAGACATAAAAAGAAAATATATGACCATCCGATCACATACTGAAAATGTGAACAAAACAATAAAGATTATTGATGTTTTTTTGGTTTAAAATTTCTTTCGACGTAAATAATGATCCTGAAATAGAAAAAAAAAACATAGTAGAGTTCAAAGAATGGTTTAACTCTTTGAGAGAACCGGCCGTTTCTTTTTGACAGAAAAAAAGTTGGATTTTTCATCTATGAAATCAATTATACAGTCCTGGATAAAAGTAACTTTCCTTGATGAAAAACTACTATTCTTTTTGATGTCAAGCTGATATTTTGAGCACAAAAATGGGACCATAAAACCTAATCGCAAAAATCAATCCATTCTGCATTGGTTCACAGATATTACTGAAACTAAGATTTACACATCACTTTTCTTTTGTGATTACCTTAAGCTGAATCATGTTAATAGAAATATTTTCATTCGAATGGTCGATGCATTAACTAATTTCAATTCAAAATTCGTTAGCAAATACATTAAAATAACTAAGATATTCTCTTTTTCATTAAGAATATGTGTGGAAAAACAAATACTGCTTGTTTTTTTTTGGTAAGATAGATCTTTTCCATGAGGTGATGAGTCATTTATGAAAGTTTTAAAACTGCAACATCAAATAAAGTCAAGTTAGCACCGCTAAAAAGTTCACAATTGCAGAGCATGCTAATTATTAAGATGTTCACTAATTGTCATGGTTTATGATAATAATGCAGTAGCCATATGAGACAGCCTTTAGCGCTAGAAAAAATAGTAGTAGCTTGTGAAATAACAAAACAACAAACAACAACTTTCTGAGTGCATATTTCTCTGGAATATATTTTTCACGAGTGGACGATAATATTTGAATCATAACCATGGTACATGTAAACTCATTAAGCGACATTACTGTTTTGTCATCATGCTTTATTATTACATGCATGTACCTTAAATATCAGTTTAATGTCATTAAGAATAATAGTATTTAATGGATAACAACTATTTTTTGTCCAAGAAGTATAACAAAGAACAATTCAATAATATATGAAAAGGAAAGTTAATTCAAAAAAAAAACTAAAAGCTTAATAAACTATGAAATTCGTCGAAACAACCAACAACGAAAAGATCTACATTACAATATTTACATATATAGAGTGAATCAGTCCTTTTTTCTAGATCTTCGACTAGCGTGTGTACATACACCAAAAATGTTTTGAATAGTTTTTTTTTTCTATTTGTTATTTGAGATATACACGAGATGGAAAGTCTCTCGTTTGATTGGAAGGTCATTGCAATATGATCGATTGTAGATTTTAGAGCACTATAAGTTTTCTAGGTTTTACGCATAAATTGCAATCAATAATCTACAAATTTAAATTTCTTTCCGATATTGACCTTATACAGCAAAAATGCAATAAACGATGACGAACTAAACTGAGTGTAACAGATGTATACTATATCAAGACTATTCCATAACGTCTTTATGTGTTAATATGTATATTGATATAAAATCTATATTAAAAATTCCACTTTTAGTGTATTGAAAGACTTTTTGCTTTAATCAAACATATCGGCCCGGCTTCTAAAGGATTAATTTGTATATTATTATTTGTTTCGAAAAGACAAATTAATAATTTTCTAAGTATTTCAGAAAAAAAAGAAAAAAAATTTAACATTTACATAGAGAATAATTTGTAAATATCCCATTGTATTTATACTTGTTCGTGTTGTTCCATCTCCATAATGTTTTGATTCTGGATCAACATAAACAATTTTTCTATCATGTTCACATCGAAATCGTATTCCATTAACATCAGGTAATAAATGAAAATTATTCGTATCATTCGATGTACACATATGTGTATCCCAATTATAATAACTTAAATCTGTTGTTAATGGTACAAGTTTATTTTGTCCAATAAAAAATTGTGTAAAATCTTCAAGTTTTAATCGATATGCATAGTCAATATATGCTGATATTTCATGACCGATATTATTTCGATCACGTATAAATATGATTGTTAATAAACGTGTTGTTCGATTCGCTTCTTCACGGGAAGCAAGTGCTTTAGCAAATGGTTCAGTAACAGTTAATGAATCACTTATTGTTGGTATTGGACCTTGTCGACGAGATTGAAGAATAAGTTCAGCACGATGTTTACGTTCTTGAAAATCTTTTCGAGATATAGCATGACCAATACCTCGATAGCCTAATTCAACAAATTCACGTGCTATATCACTATCCTTAACATTGAAACAAAAAACAGAAGACGATTAACTTTTGTTATGTTTTTTTTTCATTAAAAATAAATCTTGCCTGTAAATAATTTTGATCGATTTCTGATATTTGACTATCGAGAAATGCTTCATATGCTATAAGATAAATTAAATAAAATTAACTAGTTCTGATTTGAATACCAACATGAACACACAACTCTAGAGAAATTCTAATTGATATCAATTAATCTATACCAATATTCTATTAATGTCATTCTATTTGATCATGACTTACAAAAATGATATAAACTTTTATCACTACAATCTATTATTGTCTAAAAAAAATCAAAAGCAAAGAAATCTCTAGATAAGCTTAGTAAATTACAATAAACTTAAGTTCATATTATCTCTCACATATATTAATTGTATTTCTCAACCTACTAGTAAATTCAGTAACAAAATCAGCCATTGTCTTTTGATCATCATCAATATTAAATTGACGAGCTGGTTTCTATAATTATTCTATGTAATATATTAAAAAGATAATTAACTATAAGACTCACATTTTTAGCTGTATTCATTGTTTAATGATTAATTAAAACATATATTCCCGCTTTTTTTCAACACAATAAATAAATGTACAAACGCCCTCTGCAGAATTTTTCCTTAACATTTTTTTCTTCCTAGCTTCATCCACGTTCTATTGGCATATATACTTCGTAGCTGTGGTAAAATAGTGGCAAACAAATAATTAAAATATCTCTGTAGTATAAATCTGAGGAAGTATTTGACAAAACAATAACTGAGATTTAATAACAAATAATTATTGGATAGAATATTTTTCCAAAATAAAAGTTTCATATTCTTCTAGAAAGCAAATAGTATTAAGATCTATACATATTCAAAGAAATTCAATGTCAGCCGGTATAGATTTGAAAATTAATGTTTTTTTTTTTTGCTCCATGAAATATTTTCCTTTATCTAGCAGGAAAAATTATTCATCGTTATTTTCATCAATTAATTCATGGTTGTGGTATATAAACCAAAAGATTTAATTCAATTCAGTTTTCATTAAGATTCTTTTGTTTAATCAATAGGAAATGCTCAATGTTCAAACATTCATTGTCGATCAAGTTCATCATTTAAATACGATACAACAATTTTAGACGATCGCAATAAAGTAGCTGCTGAAGCTATTCGACTTAGTTTGGAACATGTACTATTATGTGTGGATGAAAATATGATAAAATTACATGAAGAAAAAATTAAAATAAATAATTTGTCAGAAAATAATCTTCAAGAATTGATTAATTATTGTAAAAACATAAATAATTGGAATTTATTAAATAAATCAATAGAAGATATTTTTTCAAATCGATTAAATTTATTAAATAATTTTTTAAAAGAAGATTTTTCAAATAATATTTTAATGAATAAAGAATTTTTATCAACAGCAAGTGCTACACCAAAAAGTAAACTATTCATTTATTCTTTTTTTAAAATAATCTATTTTCTTTAAAATGAATTTTAGGTTTTTTCGTACATGATCCTCGGATAACACTTGATAATGATGAAATAACATTAGATATTGATGCTATGAAACGTTCAATAAAATTATTATGTTCTTATGAAGATCATATTTCTTTAACAATTCATAAATCATTAGATTTATTATTAAATCAATTACAATATGAACTAAAATCCAAACAATATGAACTTGAAACTGATGCAAATTTTTTTAATTTATTCTTTATTATATTTCAATTACCATATCTTTCTGATCCATCTTTTCTTTTTGATATTGCTCGTTTATTTTACTCAATTTTAACTAATTTATCTATTGATGCACAAGCAAAATTTGTACGTCTTGTATCAAAATATACAAACAATTTAAATGATTATATTTCGCATGTACAACAATATATAACTCTGCACGCATTACGTTGGTGTAGTCATGTACAAATTGAATCTGACAATGACGAATTTCTATCTAGTGAACCAGGTGATGAATTCTTTAAGGTTGACGCTTGTTTATTTACAGTTTCAAGAGCTCTTATTAACCATACGATCACGAACAACTACCCAAAGAAAGCACGAACACCCCTTGAATAATGATGATCATCCGAAAAAATCCGAAAATATTGTTGTATGTCTAACATCATTATAGAAATCCACAAGTCTGAGATGTGTGTAAATCGATTATAACTCAGATGTATGAACATGTTTCGGATCCGTACTAGTTTGTAGAATGTAAATCTTTGGATAGTCGTAGATGATTACGTATTCGTTAAAATGTTTAGATCTGTATACGATTTCATATGAAGCAACTGTTTGAGTAAAGATTTGACTTTTGTTCTACGATCTTAATTATCCATGGTTTTCTACTTTCTTTGGATCGTTGTGGGTGATCCTGTGGTTGATGAAAGTTTCAGTTTTCATATTCAAAGAGGCGAAGAACCTTCGAAGTATACGACAACAATTTTTGTTTCGTTTATGAAAAAATGAGTCCGTGCTTAAACT